AGGTAAAAAAATTGCCAAACATAGGATGAATGAGGAGATAGCTAGTTTATATACACTATCAAGCAGAAATGATACAAAAGAGCAATATAATAATGACCTAGAAGAGCAATATAATAATGAGCTGGACATGGCCACAAGATTGAGTTTACATGAAGAATATCAGAGGGAACGTGGGTTTAGAATGCCCGGCGGGTCTAGCTCAAACATGCATGGTGGGCCTAGCTCCGATATGCATGGTGGACCTAGTTCAGATATGCATGGTGGGCCCAGCTCGAGCATGTATGGCGGGCTCAGCTCAAATATGTATGGAGGGGTTGGTGGCAATATGTATCAAGGAGAATCAGTTGTTGAAGAAATTGTTTCTAGGTTACCTAGAAGTGCCAGTATTGCAGGTCATGGTCGTAAAGACCCATTTCTCTCAAAGCCTAAGTCACAATAGATGACCCTAAAAGGCATGGTTAAAGGTACAAGAAACATGTTAGGGAGATATGTTGGTAAATGGTTCTACGATAAAGGGATTCCCTTTGATGCAGCCAATAGCCCATATTTTCCACCTATGATTAGTACAATCCAGAGAGTCGGGCCAGGAGTAAAACCCCCGACGGCATATGAGCTCAGTGGGCCAATATTAGATGAAGAGGTAGATGAAGTTAAAAAGTGGATTGAAGAATATAAACAGAGTTGGCCAAGGACAGGAATTACTCTCATGAATGATGGTTGGTTGAATAAAGTTAGCAAAAAGGAGTTTTTAAACTTCTTGGCCTATTCCCCAAAAGGTACAGCTTTTTTGTCTAGCAAAGACGTATCAAGGACGAAGAAAGATGCAAACTTCTATGTACGACTATATGATCAGATAGTGGAGGAGGTAGGAGATAAGCATGTAGTCCAGTTTATTACGGATAATGCGCGTGCATGTGTTTCTGCGGGCAACAAGTTGATGGATAAGAGGAAGCATCTAGTATGGACCCCGTGTGCTGCACACAGCATCGATCTTATGTTAGAGGAGATCGGTGAGATCAAAATTGTGAAGGAGACTCTAGATGAAGCAAGGTTGGTGTCGAGATTTATATACAACCACTCTAAAATTTTATTTCTGTTTAAAGAACACTCTAAGAAAAAAGAGATAATCAGGCCTGCCATTACCCGCTTTGGGACCGATTACTTAGCTGTGGACTCTATTCGAGAATCTGAAGGTGCATTAAAGAGATTGTTTACTTGTGAAGAGTGGTTAAATGACCGCCTCTCGAAGTCCAGTACCGGTATAAAAGTGGACAACATAATCTCAAATAGGCTGTCCTGGTCTCGATGTTCCAGTGTTGTAGAGGCCACTGCCCCTTTGGTCACGGTGTTAAGAATGGTGGATGCTGACAAGAAAGCTACCATGGGTATCCATTATGAAGGTATTGAGAGGGCGAAATCAGTTATTGGGGAGAAGTGTAATTTTGCTAACAAAGTGATCGAGATTATAGAAAAGAGGTGGAACACCAAATTTGGACGTCCAATTCATTATGCTGGTAAATATATATTTATATCATTACAATGTTTCAGTTTAAATCATTTTTTTATAAAATTGTAAATGACATTTTTCTACCTATATATTTTTTAGGTTACTACTTCAACCCAACATTTTTCTATTTGACACCTGAAAAACCCCACAAGATTATGGAAGGGGTCAGATACATTTTTGCAAGGTTGGAGAGAAGCCATCGAAACCAAGTAGCAGCAATACAATAGGTATTATTTAATGTTTGGGTAAGAACTTCATTGAGTTGTTATATTTGTAAGGAATAATGCACTAAAACGTAATATATTTGTCTTAGCTTGCTATGTATAGGGATGCTATAGGATCCTTCAGAACTAGACTTGCCAGAAATTCTCGAACTATGATGGATCCAGGTTATCCCCTCGCTAATATTTTGTTCATTCATATATTTAATCTTATGAATTGTTCTTGCCCTTACAATGCTTTTTACATTTTAATCCAGCTGAATGGTGGGAGTTATATGGTACTGATGCACCTCACCTAAAGAGGATAGCAATCAAGGTGCTCTCCCAGACATGTTCTGCTACTGGCTGTGAGCGCAACTGGAGTACGTTCCAATGGTTGCACACTATTAGGAGGAATCGACTCGCTTCTGAGAAGCTTCATAAACTAGTCTACGTTCATTATAATTTAAGCTTCAGAGAGCGACAAATAAGAAGGAAGCTTGAAGACTATGGGCCGATAGACTTAAACACAATATTTGTCACAGACACAGCAGACCAATGTGTAGTAGAAGAGGAGGAGCCAGTGTTGCACAAGAGAGCGTTCCTTGAGGCTATCGGTGATGAAGATATTGAAGAAAGTGATGAGCAGCATGAAAGAGGAAGCAGCCAGCCAATGTATCTACAATATGTCGGTGATATTGCACCTAATGAGGGAGAGTAGGAAGGGGGTCTAAGAGAAAATGAGAGAGATGATGATTCTGAGGCCACCCTATCCAAGCCATATTATTCACATATCGAGTCCCAACAGCAACAATGTAGGGATGAGCACGACAGTGCAGGTGAGCATGAAGGATGGACAAGCTTCGAGGAATTTGGATTGGGAACACAACAAAACAATAACACTCAGGGATTT